TCCACATTTACAATTTTTGACCATAATGGGTTTTTATATACGTAGTTACTATTAACATAATCCATAATATTATATGCTTTATCTTTTAAATAATTATCGTTTTTCATTAAGAAAAATACCGGAAATGGGGATTTGGTGTGAATTTTTGCCTCTGGATATGGGGAATTTTAGGTTACAGCATCTGGCAACACTGACTCCAATCTCTAGCGTGTCTGCTGAGTGTCCACGCTTCTGACCCATATATCAGTCCTTACTATATAAAGCCTTTCAGCAGCCCTTTTTCTCAAATTGACTAGGTCTTTTTTCATTGGGTCTTCTAAATTATTAAATGCTGTTTTGGGTCGACTTATTGCTTTGATTTCCTTATCTACCATCACGGCTAATGTTACTTCCTAAGTACACAAAATTTTCCACTTGTTTAGTTTCCTGTTGCCTACCATAATTTTTATTTTAGCATTTATTTCCAATTTGGAAACAACCATTACTTGTCACCTTTTCCACTAATGTTAACTTGTTTTTGTAAAGCCACTTAACTATCCGTCATAAGAGCAGTACTATATCATCCTTCATGGCGTTTATTTTATATTACTTTACCATTATGTTTAGCCCTTCATTATCACTTGTAACTTCTCTCATTAAGAATTCTGAATATATACTGTATATAGGTGTATTATACAGTGTTAGAGCATGGGCGTCCACGGAGGGGGGACTGTAGCCTCCTGTTGCCAGTAATGATTCTTTAAAATTCTATTATTTCCTACATTAAGCCTGTTTTGCCAAGATGTCTATAAGTTTATTATACTTTACCTTATCAAAAGCCTTTTCAGAATCAATAAAACAGATACAGTACAGTACTGTATACAAATTTCCTTGGACTTCTAATGCCCTTTCACTCAAAATTCTTAAAACAAATATACCTTCTCTAGTTCCTTTTCCCTTTGTAAATCAGTTTTGCTCTTCAGATAACTCGCTCTCTACTGTATTCTAAAATTTATTTTACTTAAAATTATGTTTAATAAAACTTTAGTTATGACTTACTAAGCTTATTGTCCTAACCTGGGTGCACTCTAAGGCTCCTGGCAATATAAGTAATAAAATAAATATTGTATTACGTGAATCACTCGCTATTTCTTATTTTGTTTTTTTGTTTTTCTTTTTTACGGGGAATAGCCCACCTGGACACAGGTCATCGACCCACAATGGAAGGGGGGTAATAGGACTACAAAAATTAAAAATAGAAGAGAAAAAATACTGAATAAATCTACATCACGAAGATACCGGAAAACCAGCTTTTGAAGTGAGACAGATTGCAAAAGTATGGAAATACAGCATTTGCACTTATTTATGTACTGTATCTTTATACTGTACAGTATTTCTTATATACAGTACTTACTGTACATTTGCAGGGGTTACATCTCTGGAAATTTTTATAAATTTCAAAACCGTGAATTAATCCACACCAATGACAAAATGGAGGGGGGATTAAAAATACAAGTACGCATTGTACAGCACAGTACAGGTGCTCCTCTTCTTACAAACGAGTTACGTTCCTGAGGCTTGTGTGTAAGTCCAACTTTACTCTTGTAGATACCAAACATATTGTAAAAATGAAAAGATTATGGATATTTAGTACAACTATACCCTTTAATACAGCCTTAAAACCTGACTCACACTTCTCTTAGGTAATGTTTGTTCTATCTGGAATTTTCTTCAAAATAATCCAGTCTCATCCACATTAAACACCTGTTCTGGCAGGTAATCCCCTCAGTGATGAGGTTTGTATCTCTGAAAGTTTGTAAGGTGAATATTCTTAAGTAGAGGAGCACCTGTACTGTATATACATTAAATACTCCTTTGTTATAACATTCACTACTGTTGGATACTGATTTTTGTTATATAGAATAAATACACAGTTTGAGAATCTACGCCATATTTATAATGCCGTGGTAATTTTTTTTATCACTGACAATGTCAAATACTCTCTCCAGCATATATTCGGTGAAGATGATACTAGCTTCTTCATCCAAAAGAGTGAAAAGCACAGTAAGGCATACATCAGAGCTTAAAGGTCAGCAAAGACTGGCTTACAATCTTGTTAGGTGGATCATCTGCCTATTACTTGGAAAGCCAACAAAAAGGCCTTGGTGTGACAAGATATTCCAGCAGAAGTACAGTGGGGTATGCTGTAACGAACGGATCTTACTACGAATATTCCTATAACGAACGGTTTTACCTATAAAATTGAGAATGCTATAACGAACGAAACTCCTACAACGAACATTATTTAAAATTTTTAGTTATTTTTTTAATAATTTATTGTTTTTTATTACAAGTATTAATGATATTCTTTATTTCAGGGGTTTAGATGCATATTTATGTACTTTTTTACAATTTTTACAATTTTATTATATTTTTCAGTGTTAAGTGGTTGTATTTGGTGGCCTGGAACGGATTAATCCTATAACGAACGAATGCTATAACGAACAAGGTTCTAGAACCAATTAGATTCGTTATAGCATGCCCCACTGTATGTGTACCAATTTTTTTCCAAAAGTCAAACATTATTGAGAGGAAAATAACTTAGGAGTTTAGATACTTGTTGCTGCTGGACAATGCCTTCAGATAATATAGACTCAATGAGAGTGGTCCCAACCTTGTTCTCATTATATTCCCCCTTTGCAGTTACTAAGCTGTCTCATGGACCCCTTTCTTTTGAAAATATAATTGATATCCCAGTGTTAAAGATAGGACAGAAAAAAGGAAAACTATATTTTACCTATAACTGAGATATTGTGAGTTGAGAATCATTAAATTACCCCCAAAAAATGTAAATGGTGGCAAGATATGGTAGGTTTTTCATTGTTTTTTTAGGGGGTTAATGATAATTTCAGACAAAAACAAGACGAATTTCATCTATGGCACTTTTCTCATTTTTTACCCATAACTAAGATATCGTGAGTTGAGAATCATTAAACTACTGTACTAGGAAAGGTATTACAGTACAGTGACCCCTCGTTTAATGAACACCTCGGTTAACGTAATTTCGATTAACGAACTGCCTTCCATAAGGATCTTCAATTCGGTTAACGAAAAAAAATTCGGTTAACGAAGTTCTTACGAACCGACCTCAACATGTTTTCGCTTGCACTGACTGGGCAACCAGCTTTAGTATCAGTCCGCCAATACATTAATCGGTTCTAGGGCTTAAATTCCTTACTATTTTAGTAAATATCAAGAAGTTTATACTATTCAATAATTTTAAAAGTTTAATATTCAATTTTTTAGTCATTTTAACAATTATTGAACATAATTGAAGGTAAAGTGACTAGTTTAATGCGCGGCATCCAGCCTCTTAACACAGCAAACTGGAGTTATTCTCTCTCTGTTTTCACTGGAGGTAACGTCTTGCTTGAGACTCTCTTCAACTAAACGCTTTTTTTCTGTGTTTCCAAGCAAATTATTGGTCATTTTGACATATATTTTACATATTGACAATATATAATGCAGTGCAGTGTTGATTTAAAGAAAATAATCTTGAATTACACCAAGAGAGCTAAAATTTTATGGGTGAAATGGCGCCATGGGGTGACTTCTCTTCCACCCCAATGCCTTCTCTTCTTCCTTCTCCTCCACCCCCATTCTAAATCCCATCATCATCATCATCATCATCATCGTCCAGGAGCCTTCTACATACACACCTCAAAGTAAGTGAATTTTTCTACCATTTTTGTTGAATTTAGGAAATTTTCGGTGAGCTGGAACCAATTACCCAAAAACCCATTGAAACATTGGTTTCGGTTAACGAACTTTTCGGTTAACGAACGACCTTCTGGAACGGATTGAGTTCGTTAACGGAGGGGTCACTGTATGTGTATTGCAATTATTGCCATGAACCGAATCTCGGAAACTTCATCTTTGCAAACAATAGTTTAGAGCAGGGGTGTCAAACTCATGGCCCGTGGGCCAAATGTGGTCCTTGGGATGGTCAGCGGGATGACGGTAAAATTTATCAGCCTGAAATTATGGTAGATATACAGTAATCATGTTTATTTAGTAAAATGAATTTTACATACTTAAGATCAGACAAACCCAAATGAGGTATTCCTGGTAAGCCAGGTAAGGCAATTGTGTGAAGCTGTAAACTTCAATCCTGCAAAATGTGATATACCACTTGTGTTGGCCCTGAAGAGGGTAACTAAAATAAGAATTGGCTCTCAAAAGGATTTGAGTTTGACACCAATGGTTTAGAGTCTTTAGACAATTCTAAAGCACCATTCTTCTATGAGGTTTTCCTCACAAAGGACCTACAGGTAGAACAGACATGCAGGTTATGTATACCCCAAAAACCAACGTCCCATCAACCGCTGATTCGCATAATCGATGATTACATTTAGGGGAAATAACCCGCAAGTTTCGTTGATACCCCGGAGATCCAACTATTGGAGAAGAACAACAGAAATGTTTTGAATTTGACGGGCGGTGGAGTGGTGCGAATTCTTGGTTGGGTTAGGTTGGGTTGGGTTGGGTTGGGTTGGGTTGGGTTGGGTTGGATTGGATTGGATTAGATTCGATTAGGTTAAGTTAGGTGACATCTCAACTTGATTTTTACTAATTTCCATGAGTTTGTATTAATTGTTAGTTCAAGACCACCCATACAGATCATGCTTCTACTACTCATCTCAAAGCATCTTACCTTCCACATACAATGCAAGACGTGCAATGGAAGTCTTTTTGAACTCAACGTGCAAAATAACATCAACATGACGTAAACTTTCTGTATGGGTCACTTTCATCATACCAACAGTCACTGTGTTATGAGACAGAAAAGTGATTTAATTTTTGTAAAATTTTAGTGCTAAAAGTATTTAATAGGTGTCTGATGATAATTACTGCAGCAATATTATGCAGCACAAGAAGCAGGGTATGTGATTCATTCCAAGCATAGCATTAATGTATGTGACGCAGAATAAGCAAGGCGGGATAACGAGCCACCTACTCACACTGGTTGTTGATATATGGCATCTCCTAGATCCGAAAATGCTCCAGACATCCTCCTATACCTGTGGAATTAATCAACCAGTGCATAAGGAAGCTTTGTTTTATTTTTTCTTCGCCAGGCTTGTGATTGAAAATAAAGTACAGCTGCTCCCTGACTTACGACTGGGTTAGGGACCCAAATCCAGGTCGTAAGTCGAAGTGGCCGTAAGTCGAAAATGCTTAAATAATACATAGAAAATCTAAAATGGGGGTCTCTTTTTCTTCTCAGCACCACAAAACTCTCACTTTTAAGCTTGCCAGCCATTTTAAAGTGAATTACAAACGAAAATTTTGTCAGTACACGGCTCATTCACTGACGTTGGGACTCGAAAATACGTAATTTGAGAAAATTTTGGTACGACTGAGGCGGTCGTATGTGTGGGTGGTCGTAAGTCGGGGAGGAGCTGTATTGTATAGAGTTAGACCTACACAAATAATATGTTTTCTGCTTGTAATGTTCTGTCTATTTTCTTGGGCAAAGGTGTGGCACAAGAACTGAACTGGATATCGATGTAATCGGTCAAGTACCCAGTAACAGTTTTGTGATAAAGAATGTATTAAAAAAACAACTACAATACTCTACTGTACAGGTATTACTCGTAACAATAAATTTGTATAGTAAACAGCTCCTCCCTGACTTACGACGGAGTTAGGGACCGACATCCAGGTCTTAAGTCGAAATGGTCGTAAATCGGAAATGCTTAAATAATACATAAAATAATCTAAAGTGGGTGTCTCTTTTTCTTCTCAGCACCACAAAACACTCATGTTTAAGCTTGCCAGCCATTTTAAAGTGAATTACAAATGAAAATTTTGTCTGTGTATTGACTTTGGGACTCGAAAATACGTAATTTGACCAAATTTTGGTACGGCTGAGGCAGGTCGTAAGTGCGGGTGGACATAAGTCGAGTACAGTAGGTCGTAAGTCGGGGAGGAGCTGTACGTAATAAACTGAAATGTGTTAAATATGGGGCAAAAACTTAAAACAATAATTCCCATACTTTGCATGAATTTAAAACTTAAAATTACACTTTATGCAGGCAGTACCAGTCACACCACCTTATACCATTTGTTGTCAGCCCAAAAGCCAAGTAATAAAACCTAAGCAAGATACGAGGTAAAAATTAATGATTTTATGTTTCCTGTAAAGATGACCTGATTGGAAATAATAATCTGCACTATTGTTATATCAGTTTAGCCACTTATCATCTTACTAGCCATTTGGGCGGTTGGACTATCTAGTGTTAGTACAGGAAGAAACCAGGGACCAGGAAACCTGTGCTGTTTGGTAGGGTCACACTGGATAAGCCAGCTGGGCTAATAGAATCAAATAGTTACTAGCCCTTCCAAAATTTTAAGAGACATTAATAAAAAAAAACATTTAAATTTCAATAATTGACATATACTGGGTAGGCCTACATAGAAAGTGTTTTTGTTTACTTTGATACTTTATTTAGCTTAACAAAATGTAAATTATATTCAAACTTCAAATACTGACATGATGCACAACATATTATAATATGGATAATCCATTTCCTTGTTTACTTTAGATCATTACCTGAAATTTATAAAAAACTTTAGATTCTCTTAAAAAACTACTGTACTGTATGTATATGTAACCGAGGTCTTTCTTCTTCACTGGATTTGGTCAATAAGTTTCTGTACATGCTCCTCTGTGCTGCAGCTATGTGTGTGGTTATAGCCATCATCACGGCAGCTCCAGTCGTTAAAAATCTGTTGACGACTTCATCTGGATTGAAGTTGCTAACAATATCTGACTGCAACTGGACCACTAGGAGATCTGTCAAGTGGTCATCGGTGAGACGACTGCGCCAGTCTATCTTGATGAGCTTGACCTGACTCAAGCCACGTTCAGCATCAGCAGAACTGATTGGAATGGACAGCAAAAGGTCAACGAAATAGAGAAAGGAGCCACACTTTTCTCTGTATGATTCATTTATTTGCTCCCAGGACAGTTTTGAAACAGGTGATATCTTACTCACTTTGTAGAGATAGCATTTGAGTACAGCCCATTCAGTCTCCAGCTTGGTTGGATCCACTTCTGCCTCACTTAGTGTTTTCTCAAGAGACTGAGCCAGTGCTCCCACAGTGGTGTCTCCGAAACCTTCATTCCCTGTGTATTCTGCAGGCCACAGCTTGAGATCCAGAATCCATGAAATATGCAGAACTGCACTGACCATGTCAATAAATCTTTTCTTTAGACTTGTAAACAGAGGTGTCAGCAAATCATGCCTTGCAGCCATGAAGGCGCTATTCCTATCACTCGGCTTCTGTCCTTGGAATATGGTAGTGTCACCTTCCAAAATCTTCCTCAGACTGGGTCCTGGACTTGTCAAATATTTAGTGAGTAAATCAACTGAGGCCTGAATTTCAGCCATGATAGCAGAAACATTGGTATGTCTGTGATGAAACTGATCTGAAAGGCACCCAAGGCAATGCAAGATATCCAGAAGAAAGTGGATGTACTTGATTACATCAACACTGGTTAGAAGTATTAGATAGTTCTTAACTCTTCTGGACGAATCAAATTCCTCATACCATAACGTTTGGAATGATCTAGATCGTGTTGATTGTTCATATTGATGCTGCTGCTCTTACTTTTCTTCTCTGGTTTTGTGTTTTATGCTTGGTGGTGGATTAATATTCTTCCACATAACAAACAATCCCCTATAGTGGCTCCTGATGATTAATAATAATGTCTGTGTTAGTCAGACATCACGTCAATACTGTACAGAGGTATGAGTTGCACCGAGATCGCCGACTCCCTGGGAGCAGCAGGGCGCAACAACCAAGTACGCGGGTTCATGTGTACAACACACGTTTGCTCTTGCAATGCTTTTTAAAAACCGGGCACTAAGCATTTCCTTATGGTAAAGCAGACTGTCAAAAATATCAGTTTTTGTTCAAAACTACAGGATATCTCATAGACACTGCAAGTCTGACTGACATGCTAGTTGCCTGCCAGGCAATTAAAAAACAGTAAATTTCTCTAAGACCTACTCACCCTTCTGATATTTTAGCCGCCTCGGGCGGCCGGGCGTATGCGAATTTCTACCCCTAGATAAGACCCTTCTCACTTGCGTCCCGGCCGAGGCTCAAACCCTTGACAACTTGACATATTGGTGTGTTATGCTGTACCACTAACACCAAAATAAATAAATAAATATATATATATATATATATATATATATATATATATATATATATATATATATATATATATATATATATATATATATATATATATATATATATATATATATATATATATATATATTATATATATACATCACAAATAATCAGAAACAAATGTAGTATTAAAAATGTTGAGTCTACCCTCAAGGTTCCTCCATTCTTATGTTCGAATGGGACCACCAAGTTTCAGCGGAAAGCCCTTCTTCAGACACGTCACTGAACCAATTACCATGCAATAAAAAGTCTCGGTTAACCCCTGGATACCATGTGGGAAGGACCATAAATGTGGAGTGTGGCAGTGGTTGCCGTGGCTCCCCCCTCCCATCTTTTTTGTTCGCTCTGCCTTCCAGATCAATTTGGCACCCTATTTGAACCATAAAAGGTGGTAAACATGGTTTTTTTATCTTATTGATGAAACTGATAATTGTTATGCGCAGGAGTCAACAAAATGGTAAAATAAAGTGAAAAGCAGGGAAAAATGTGCAATTATTGCAATAAATGCTTCCCCATGCTTCTCAGAGTATTTCTATGTGCTTATAAGTGCTTTAATGTAATTCTGAGTGCTTCTCTGTAATTATGAGGTATAATTAATGTGTACAGTTATTTTCCTCTTTTTTTATGGGGGGGGGCTAGAACTGGGGTGGTTAACACTCTTTGGGAGAACTGGTCCATAAATCCTGTTTTCTATGACCAGGAGAGACAGAAAATGGTCAGTCTGGAGATCACTGAATGTCCAACTCCTCGTTCTGGCCATCAACTGGAAACTCTGTTCCCTTTAGGAATACAAGAAACTAGGTATGGTTGACAAGGATACTGTAGTTATGAATACATCACCTCCTCCTGTGCTTAGGTGTATGTGAAGGTGGCTCTATCATGTAGACACTGTCATAATAACATGGGCTATCTAATTGCCTTTTATCATGAGTGATTTCAGGATCCAGCCCCACATTCCCCAAACTGAGAATTCACCAAATCACACTACAGAACATCTAGACTTTACACACACAGTATACTAGGGATGCCCTGATTGAAAATCAAACATGTATAGTAGTAAAACACATAACAGTGTTAATTCAGGCTTGAAAATTAATGACAATAAGAGTTTATGTTGGCCACATACCGATGACCATGATTTTATTTAGTTTTATTTGTCTTTAATTTTTAAAGGACATTACAGCTAAGCAGACACCAACAATGGTCCCTACCACAGTAAATTTCCAAGCCTGTTAACCGTCCTAAATAATGGGGTACTCACAGTGGTGCAGATGAAACAGCCTCATGTATTTCAGTGATGACTTCATTAGCTTTCTGCACTCTGGCCACCATAACAACATCACGGCAGCATCATACAACACCCAATAAAGCCAACAAAAAAAAGGTGCACTAAATTTGAAGAAATATAGATTCTACCAAATTTTACATAGAAGAAAGCAAATTAAGAAAATGTTCTGTGCTATTTTTTAATGCAACTGCCATCATCAAGTACAGTACTAGACAAGAACTAAAATCAAGCAATACTTCATATTTACAGACACTCTCACACATGTACAGTTCTTGGTTGGTAAAATGCTGCATGTTTTTATCACTATAAAAGCAAAGCAAATCTTTCTTGTGGGTAAATCACTAATTTTTAGCAGCATCAGTCTTGACTGGTTCACAAAAGTTAAGACTTTGAAGCCAAAATAAAGCTTAAGAACAGGTCCAGTTGACAGGCCAGATCATGAATTACACAGTTCAGGTAATGTGACTTTTGTTGAGAATATGAATATGGAAAATCAGTTTCTTGTATCTACAAGAAATATTACAATACGAGTTAAGACTACTACAGTACTGTACTGTACTCAAGGGATTAATTCCTTTACTCGATCAATTCATTCACTGTACAGTACTTAGTACACTTGCCTCACACTAATGGGGATAAAGAGTTTATGCAATTACTCTTTTGTCTTGCAAAACCTGTCAAAATGCTTTAAGTAAGTCTTAATTTCTATACAACTACAGTACATCTATTTGCCACTTTACATCAAGTTGCATTATGCTTCTTGCTAACACAACTGTGTCTGTGATGTCATGTGAAGTACTGTTCTTTTCTTGGTGTAAACAAAACACTGAATTACTGAGGGATGGTTCCACACGAAAATGAATGTTTATATACCCATGCTACAGGCTGTATTAAAATTAAATACTGTACTGTATAGTACTGTATTTGCGAGACATTTATAAATCAAACTGTCTTGTTACTGTATTCCTTGTATTGAAATTTTCCATGATATGAGAAATTTATTAACTGCTGTATTGCATTAAGTTGGTTTCTTCTTGCATGCAACAAAACATAGAAAATAAATGGACATTCAAATAATATAAACAAGAAATACAGAAAATGCTGACCTGACACCTTTCACCCATACACCATGTCACAAATTTTATAAAATGGAAGATAAGTACCTGTACTGTAATTTACAAAAAACTTAGTTAAGTAATTGATATTACCGGGTACTTACTGGTTATACTGTACATAGTAGTTCAGTAAATGACTATTCAACACTATCAATACCGTATATGATGGGAATAAAGTACAATACTGTTACTTTTCAAAAATGTGTTAAAGACTTATAATTTACACTGGGTTCTGGGAAAAATGATTATCCAACAATTTCTGTACTTACACCGTAGAAAATACTATGAAGAGCACCCAACACATCCATTAAAGCATACAACAATATTTAAAATACAGGCATAAAATTTCCAGCAAAGGATGAGAGCAAGCCAAAGAACTAGTATATAAAACCTAAAGCCTGGCCTCTTTAAGATGCATTACTTTGATTATTACCTCCTACGAATGTGTAAAATAATGTACTTACACAGGTAAACTTTGGACATATTGAGTGCTAAAACAAGAGAAAATATGAATTACTTTGATTAATTAAAATAAATACTGTACAGTATATAGATTAAGATGTAACAAGTTCAGGAACATCATGAAAAATAACACAAAAATCAGAATTTTAGACTAAATTATACTATACACTTATCTAATGATTCACTACACAAAAGAAAATTCACATTAATAAATATAAAAAGAAAATCACTAAAGAAATCCTCCCATAATTCCTTTAAGACTAATTTAAAAACTAATCTTGTTTTCTGTATTATCAATATTTTATGCATGACACAGAGTGGACACAAGCAAAAGCAACACAGACCCTGTAATCATGTGCAGTAATTCAGTCTCTCTAACTGCTCTAACAGATGTGATCCTCTTTTCGTGCTCATTTATCACAATACGTCCCAAGATTCTCAACTGCTTTAGAAAAAACATTTATGGTACCTTTTCCCTAAGTAATTAATAGAAAATTAATTGCCATATATACTCTTAAGGTATTTCATTGTTTAGCATCCAAGAAAATTTTTTTAAACATTAAAGGTTCTCATTGAATGGTCCTTCGTTAAAGATTAAAAAAGTATTGTTAAAACGTGGTTAAATTGATAACTTCTATGAAACCTGATTCAACTTATCATTATTTTAGAATAACAAACACCTCCCATATTGTTCTAAAAATAAAACAACTTCTAAACAAGAAAATATAATAAACCTTATGCAAAATATTCTACACCTAGAAGTAAGTGCTATCGGCTCATGTTGCAGTATCATCTCGGACTGGCTGTCCTCTTTTTTTCCTGTATGCATCATCTTCGTTTCTCAAAAGTTTCAAGCATGGGATTAGGGTATAACTCATTTACTTTTGCTACCCATCTTGAAGGCTTTTACCTCCAAAACTATGAGGGAATGCCAGAAAAAAACTTAGGTAGCAAGAAATTTTGCTCAGAGTTCATTAATATACCATCTTGCTACAATGACCTCCAGCCCACTAGTCAGTGGTGTTACTCGCTGGGCTCCCCCGCCAAGTTACCATATACGTACCACTTTTTGAACGAATCATTTCAGTGAAATCACTCCGTAGGCAGATTGTACACACACTGCTTCTTCCTGAATGCCCTTCCCTTCCTACTGTTCCTCTCTCACCTTATCTTTCCAACTACGGTATATATTTTTTGTTTGGTCGTCCCCTCTTTTTAGTAGCTGGAACCAAATGAGTGACCATTTATTACACAAACCAGGTGATCTAGATGTACACTACATCATATTTGATCATAACAAAGTGACCACTTGATGTAACTATCTTTCGAAGACATATCTGCAACCCACAATTCACCAAGAAAAATATTTCAAAGAATATGTACTGTATGCTGCTGCCATTTAAGGTAAAAAGATCACTGAACCTTAATGGTATCCTCTTCAGGAAAAGCCACTCTACATTTTGTCCTGCCCATACAAATGGGTTCACTCTCCTCTCATTGTCAGCCCTGCCACTGTTCTTTGTTTTGTTAAATTTGCATTTCATAGCTTTGAAGTTTTCTTTGTCTAGTTGTTGTTAACTCTTTGGGAGAGCGATAAATTTAAACCTGTTCAGTATTCTCAACACCTAAGGATTTTATTCTGGCTACCACCAGAAAATTTATTAAGCTTAGAGAAAACCTCCAGCAGTAAGAAGGTAAGACATCGTTCCTTTATTTCAAGCTGTACTGCATTGGCATAAAATTTAAAGCTATTAAGCAGTCCCCTTCTTTTAATGTAGGAAGTTTATAGTTAACCTGTTAGCAGCTGTAGACTGATACTATTTATGTTGTTCCATAGTTCTTTAAGCTATGAGCCTGTGGACTGACATTCTATTACTGTGACTGTTAGGAATGACTCTCAACAAAATGTTCTTGATAATTTAGGTGTACAGTACAGTACATGCTTCAGTGGTCAGCCATGGTACTTGAATGATAATTTCATGCAAAACTGTGAAAGTGTTAAAGTTCCGGTAGAAAAAAAGTGTTTGTCAAAGCAATAACACTCTACCTCCCCTCACACAACAGTACAGTATAATGTTGTACAGTAAAACTAACCAGCACCAAAATGAAATACTGTTCAGTACTAATAAGTCCTCCAAAATCAGCTAGAATTATTGGTTTGAATACTGTGAGATGAACTGCCATATTTATTGCTATGAAAACCAATAAAATTGATACATAGCATATCATAAAATACAATAACACATATTTGAAGCACAAACAAGCCCCTTCCACACACAAACCATCCTCTGGGGGACGCGACACAGTTCAGCCAAGCCGTATGGCATTACGTAACATCGGGAGAAAGTTGAGCCGCACAGCTACTCATCCCCTCCACACACACACACACACCTTGGCTCTTCATTTTTCTATTTTATATTATATTTTCTTAATTGCTAAGCCATATCGCTTATATAGAGTGGAATAAGTACTAACGAAGTCTATTTTTCTGATACACGAATTTGCGAGGTCAGCCTGCAGCACTGTGCATTGTAGGATTTATTGGGGGATCCTAAAAGTGAGATTCAATTAACCGGAAAACCTCTTTATTCGACACCTCCTTATTCCAGTAGGTGCCGGATAACAGGGATTTTACTATACTGTAAAGTACTGTATTCTCAAGCTACAGTGGTCCCTCGGTTAATGAACGGTTCGATTAACGAAATTTCGGTTAATGAATTATCTCCCATAAGGATCTTCAATTCGGTTAACGAACAAAACTTTGATTAACGAAATCCTTACGACAAACACGTTTTGTTGTGAGCATCAGCTGATGGGCTAGTCTGCCAATTCAGTAATCTGTTCTATGTTTACATTCGTTTCCAGTGGAGTAAATAGCAAGAAAGTTGTGCTCTTTAATATTTTTGCATTTTTTATATTAAAAGTACTAGTCATTTTAAAATTTAGTTAACATATTGATAATATATGCAGTACAGGGAACTAGCTTTTTGTGCACCCATCAGCCGCTTGACTCACCCATCAGGCATCAGTTTAGTTTTGTTTACAGTGGAGTGAACATCGATTTTGTTGGCATCTTGAATATTTTTGCATTTTTACATTAAAATTATTGGCCATTCTGAAATTTAGTTAACATATTGATAATATATAGCGCAGTGCAGTGTTGATTTAAATAAAATACTCTTGAATTACACCTAGTGAACTTAAAATTTTATTGGTGAAATTACGGCATCATGCATGGGTCCCCTGAAAGGTGATTTCTCCTCCATCCCCACTTCCTTCTCTTCTCCCTTCTCCTCCATCCCCACTTCTAATTCCCATCATCATCATCAACCAGGAACCTTCTGCATACACACCTCAAAGTAAGTGTACTTTACTGCATTTTTTTTTTAGTTTGTATGCCCTTGATACATTTGCAGTCGCTATATTTTACAAATGAGCAAAACACTGAACAGCAGTTTCTTTCACAGATGTACTCTTATGTACTCTTATGAGCAAGTCATGTCAATACTTTTTCTAAGCACAGTACAGCATTTTAATCCCTTCCCTTCACTTTCCACAACTGTCTTGTGTCACTCTCCCATATAATTTCCCTGTTTCTCTGGGGTCTCTATATCTCACCCAAGATTGGAAGAGAACTAAAGGTAATAGAATAAAAGAACAAAAAAATACCTAACCATCTCTTTAAGTCATGAAAAAAAAACTTGGTTATTAAATTCATCATTAAGTAAATCCAACCATAGTTTATACCAACATAAACTTTTAATTTATGTACTTACGTTTGAGATTCACGAACGGTTTTCATGGAATTATTGAAGTCCTCAGTAAACTCGCGCCAGACAGTGATTCCTAGTCTTCGCTTGAGATCTTGTGCAAGCTTCACTTTTGAGCCCAACACCTGTCGGAGGGTCTGAATTTCCTCCTCAGTCTGCCAGAAATAAAACAGTTCATGATATCTGCAGTATACCACCTGTTCTCTACATAATGTAATGAAATACGAGGAATTGATTCCATATAACCAATAACGTCACGAGTAACCCCGTTGATTAATGCACCTTAGATACTCAGCCCCAGGGGATGAGTTACCAAATAGGAAATATAACTTTACTAAGTTTTCGTGAACTAAAGTTACAATGAAATCATTTTGAACGAAATGTGAAACACTATGATCCTATGTTAAATTCATCTGCAAATATAGTAATTCCAGGTGTACATATTATGATGCTAAAAACCTAACAGGTGTTTGTGTAAATATAGCAGTTTGTGGGTTACAGGTATGTACTGTATGTGAGTGCATTACAATGCATAGTTATGGTGAAGCAAGATCATAAACTTATATATTGTACTGTACAGCTATCACCTTTGAATGATAATATCCATCTCTCAGCCACCATATTTACAGGTATTCCCTCAAGACATCACAAGTAGGAAATATAATTAAAATTTTGTTCAAAAGATCTGTTTATTGTTTGAGTAAATAAGAAAAAGACCAAGTGTAAATTAAAAGAAAATTAATGGCCATTAGTGTGAGCAATTTTTTATCAAAAAATTTGGCTGGTTAATGTAGAAAGAAGTTCATTACAGGGGACAGTACTATAATTTATTTGTCAGACCCTAAAACATGAAGGTCGTTATACTGTACCAAATTCTTAGTACTGTACTGTAATTGATTATTCATTAACTGGGAGCTTAGGTATTCAGTGACAGTAATACAGGCAGTTTTAACAACAGTCAACTGTCTCTTAAAAACAGAAATGAAATAAAGTCACGTTTGCTTTATTAACTTAAGAAAATAAACAAATGCACAATTCTGAAGGTAATTTACATTACAATTTTGTGGTTACCTTGGTGAGCTCAGCCTTCCATTCTTCTCGCTGCTTTTCCTGCTCTTCTGGCGATAAGGCATTGAAGGTGTCGTGGACGCCACTGTCTGGAGTCACAGTATCGTAGGTTATTTCCTCTGCTGCAAACAAAATACGTACACATGTATCAATGACAGTGTATGTAAATGAATAACACAATTTCAATGTAATTTGAGGCAATTCAGAAAGTTTTCTGATTGCATTTACATCTCAATGTACATTAGAAATATATTCAACAGTGACTTCCATATTATAAAGAATAAATCTAGCTTAGAAATCCAAAATAAATTAGATATTTTACTTTAACAGTCAAGACAATCCTTCAGCAAGATGGTCACATATGGAGCCTTCCATGTTCACATAATGACATCACATTAAGTGTTGTACATTTCATGTGACAGGCAGTGCAACCCAATCAGCCAGTAATTCAACTTGTAGAAAAAACTGCTTAATGATGTATGTTGCTCTGTTTTCAGCATTTCTTCCATCTGTTTATCTGTCTCCAAGAGGATACTTTTTCTTTGAAGATTAACTACAATACAGTATTTTCCAACCAATATGGTTCATTATATTTGCAGCATATTATTGGTAACTGGGTGAATGGATCAAATTACAAGACATCAAGTTTGTACTAAATTTATGAGGGAATGGAACAGCAATAACGAAACTTATTTACTGTACTTTATTCTGGTTTATCTACTCAATGCAGTTACAATGAAATATACCTTACCATACAGCTATTTCTAGAAAACACACCCAACTTAGACATGATTAAACAGTACAGAACAATCCTATTTTTAAGAGGTGGCATGGGACCAAATTCAATCATTATAAAAGGAGTGTCATTAAAACCTTTTAGCCTGCTACACAAAGTCAGACTTTTGCTCACATTTGTCTGGACAACAAAGTCTGCACAGACAAAACTGAACTTGTGTAGGGGATATTTGTGGACTGTGCAGACCGTTTGCCAGATTAGTGCTAACTTATGTACCGTACCCACCTTCCACCCTGACTACACATTACAGTATTAAGTTGCTGCCAACACCTTTCTTACATACAGTACTGTGTGTGTGTGTGTGTGTAGGAGTACTGTGTGTGTGTGTGTTGGAGTACTGTGTGTGTGTGTGTGTAGGAGTACTGTGTGTGTGTGTGTGTGTGTGTGTGTGTGTGTGTGTGTGTGTACTGTGTGTGTGTGTGTGTGTGTTGAGCTGTGTGTGTGTGTGTGTGTGTTGGAGTACTGTGTGTGTGTGTGTTGGAGTACTGTGTGTGTGTGTGTGTGTGTGTGTGTTGGAGTACTGTGTGTGTGTGTGTGTGTGTTGAGTACTGTGTGTGTGTGTGTGTGTGTGTGTGTTGGAGCTGTGTGTGTGTGTGTGTGTGTGTGTTGGAGTACTGTGTGTGTGTGTGTGTGTGTGTGTGTGTGTGTGTGTGTGTGTGTGTGTGTGTGTGTGTGTGGTGGAGTACTGTGTGTGTGTGTGTGTGTGTGTGTGTGTGTGTGTGGTGGAGTGTGTGTGTGTGTGTGTGGTGGGTGCTGTGTGTGTGTGTGTTGGAGTACTGTGTGTGTGTGTTTGTGTGTGTGTGTGTGTGTGTGTGTGTTGAGTGCTGTGTGTGTGTGTGTGTGTGTGTTGGAGTACTGTGTGTGTGTGTGTGTGTGTGTGTGTTGGAGTACTGTGTGTGTGTGTGTGTGTGTGTGTGTGTGTGTGTTGGAGTACTGTGTGTGTGTGTGTGTGTGAGTTGTAATGTGTGTGTGTGTGTGTGTGTGGAGTACTGTGTGTGTGTGTGTGTGTGTGTGTGTGTGTGTGTGTGTGTGTGTGTGTGTGTGTGTGTGTGTGTGTTTGTGTGTGTTGTGTGTGTGTGTTGTGTGTGTGTGTGTTGGAGTACTGTGTGTGTGTGTTGGAGTACTGTGTGTGTGTGTTGGAGTACTGTGTGTGTGTGTTGGAGTACTGTGTGTGTGTGTTGGAGTACTGTGTGTGTGTTGGAGTACTGTGTGTGTGTGTGTGTGTGTTGGAGTACTGTGTGTGTGTGTTGGAGTACAGATATGGGTGTAGTACTGAGCCAGGGCCAGATATGGGGGTAGTACTGAGCCAGGGCCAGATACGGGTGTAGTGTTGGGTTCGGAGACAGTGCAGGTGTGATGCTGGAACAAGTTTAATGAACAACATCTTTTATATCCAGTGTATTCAGTAGAGGAAATTCTGTATGCTAGGAGGGCAGAGTAGACAAAAACCATTTAAAAAACCGAAAAATCATTGTTTTTATTTAATGCTGTTGCGTTGGCTTTAATAAGTTTAAGTATTTTAACTATCTTTATAACTTGTTAATACGCTTATACTCTTTTCTATCTAAAAAAATATCACTGAAAAGGTCAAATTTTTAAACTAAGAGATTTGATCAGTCACCCAGACTCATCCTACATCTAAAGGTAAAAACTAAGTGTAAGTTAATCTTAATGCATGGATAAACTATTCTACTTTTACAACTGAAAGTTTTAAAGAACTCAATTAAGTACAGAGAGAGAGAGAGAGAGAGAGAGAGAGAGAGAGAGAGAGAGAGAGATTGGTTCCCCTGGACACTTATAATACGTGATCTGAACACATTAGAATATGAGGCCCAACTGTAAACAGAAGCAGTCACCAGTTATTATACTGAACAGTGGCAACTTGTCTCCCTTATAATCAGGATTTGAGATGTGTGCAGCCCTGTAACAAAGCTTATTATCACCAGTGTATGATAGTTCACATCCCTATATATGTTGAACAACCAAGGGACCATAACACATCCCTATCGAACTCCAACATTTATTTCAAAAGTTTCATTATCTTTCCTATCTATTCTTACCTTTGTCCTGCTGTTCTCGCAGAATGTTTTCATTGCATTAATAGCCTTCCTCCCACCCCATACACTTGGAATGCCTCCCACAATGCTTTTCTGGTCACCCTATCATATGTCTTTTCCAAATCTAGTCATAAATTATTAAAACCATCTGTGACAAAAACCAACAAAAAATAATAAAACCAAGAAAAAGGCACAGATTAAAACAAAATAATAAAATCTGTTTTTGTTTTATATTTAAATTCTGGTAACCGGAATTCTACCTCTTAGTCAGACGAGTCTAATGGGTGAAAATTAAAGGTCCGAAGACCCACTTGTTGACTAGAGGATAACAGTCGGGAAGACAATTCACTTTAATACTGAAATTCAATAAGGGAGACACTTGGTAAGCACCGTTCTCACCTAAAGAGAAGGCAAGGAGTCTACTGCCAAGCCTAACATACATGTATAGGGTATTTCTAAATAACTTTTGTACCCATAACAAAACTACTAAAGATAAATATAAAAACTATCTAGAATATCATTCCCATGTTCTTACCTAAGAACCTCCGTAGTTTTTGAGCATACTTGCTGGGTATGGCTGACAGGTTTCGTACTCGGAGATCAGATCGTCTGACTCCTCTTTGGAATGCAAGGAGAACTCGCCTGTACCTTCCCTCCACGGTGAGAGGAGCTGCAGCAGCCTCCGGCCTCACACTCTCTGTATCGTCTGTTGCTACCCCGCTATGTACGGTTTCTAAGAACTTCAAGAAGTTATGGTGAGGACTGATCCTGGATCGGTATTCTTTCTTGTAGTTTTCATAAGTCACCTTAACACCTCCAGACGGTAAGATCTCTGCCTCGGCTACCTCGTGATCTAAGTCTTCTATCTCCAAAAACACTTCGTCTTCGTCCTCTGGTAATCGGGATAACTTTTCCGAACCGATATGCTCTTTCTGGCGGGAGTGACCTGGCGACGTTCTGCGTAATCGGGGTGTTGTGGCGTCAGTGTGACCCTGGGAGACAAGTTCGTGGTCTTCAGCACTTCCCGTGTCAGAAACACTACTGACACTTGCGCTGCGAGAGGTGGTCAGATCAAAGTCTAATGAGAAATAATCCTCATTGACTCTAACACCTAGCACTTCTAGATGTCTCAATAGTGCTTCCGAATTATCAAGGCGAAAATCGGATTCAACATTATTAACAAATTCGTATCCGAGAGAAGGGTCGCCATACTCCTCAGGAATTCGAAGATTTTCAAGGGTCAGGTCAGGCAGCGGGTCCTCCAGATATTCATCGTTATATATAATACTGTTTAAACTAGACGGCGCGGTGTCATCTGTCAAGTTGTCCAAATTCCTTGCAACTATTTGTGCCAGGAGAGAGGCACTGGTAAATGATGACGTGGATGTGACTGGCTCATTGATGTTGATGGCGGTGGTCGGGGGTGAGGTTGTCACAGGGTTAGGCTCAACCTGGAAATTATTGTTCTGTATATCTTCCGGGGAGTGCGCCATCCTCGAGTCCCCACAGTCAATATAACACAAAACACACCGTCTGCCTTACAGGTGATTCAGCTTCTAACCACTACTGAAAGTCACAAAAGCCAACGTTTCATCTTAACAGGTAGGTCGGAGACCTCCTCCAATTAATGGTCCACTTCATCAGTTACCGTCTTGCGATACATAAACTTTCGATGTATTTGTATAAAGCATTACTGACATGTTACTGATCATTCACTTAAACTGGAAACAAAGGATAAAGGAAACACTGCATGAAATATTTACTCTTCACATATCACATTGTGTCTCAGTAATGACGTGACTGTATCTAGGGACACGATGCAGAATTTGAATGCGCGTCTGGAAGCAATTATTTTTCGATAATATTTTATGATATGCAATCTATAAATACTATGGTTCCTTCGTCAACTAATGAAAATAAACGGAGGCATGACTACGGCACACAGGCATCAGCTTGATGTGCATGGTATTTGTCTAGAATTAAAATTACAGCAAACTAGGTTAAAGGTTATTCAGTATTTCGGTTAAAAAAAAAAGAATATATTGCACAGTACTGTATACGAATATGTGATCAAGGGCGGATCTAGGAGGGAGGTCCTGGGGTTCCGGACCCCCACCCCACTTTTCATCAGAAAATTCCAATACTTTCCTTTAATGCAGTATTGTATTCAGACTTTTTGTCTAGTAAAAAGTATTTACTATTGACCTCAGAATATCTCCTAATTTCAAGTGCACATGACTCCAAAATGACCTCAAAATGCCCATTATATTGGGTCGGGTTTCAAAACATTTCTGGGGGGACTTACAGCGCCCCCCCCCCCAACCTCAGCCTGGGTGGGCTCGCTCTGCTCGCCATGTCCCCCCCTCCCCCCTTTCGATATTCCTAGATCCGCCCGTGATGATTCAGTGAGAAAAATCTACCCTAAACTACAAAGCTATTAATGTCTGTCCAGAATAGCACAATTGTATTTTTAGGAGCCTGGACATAATTAATTCAGCTTGTATTCTAACTCTCTCCAGGACACTCAGAATATATCATCTGGGAGTATTGAAGCAGGCGGCAGCCAGGTGAGTGTGTGGGTGGAGGAGTCACTTTCACCTTCTACTCTCAGTCCCCGCCATCTCACACAATGACTCACGGGATACAAATTCTTACCGCAAACACCACCACCGTTCCTTCTCATCCCATACCAACGCCACCACTCTCGCTCGTTCTCACTCCACTCGCCAACACCTTTACTCCAGTTACCATCACCCCCTTCCCTACCTACTTCCCATAAACTGCATATGGCAACCATACTCGGCTCCTCACCGGCTTAAATTATAGCAAGGATCCCTTTGGTGACGATGGTCAACCTTGGCCATGGTGGGGCTTCATCCTCCCTCGCTTAGTCTAGTTATTCTGGTGAGGAGGAGGACTAAGGTAACATTGGAAACCCCTCCCCCACATTCACGTCTCCCACCCCCTCCCCCCCCCTCAATTCATTTCGTCATAATCATCAGCTGGACGACCCTGACACGCTCCCAACACCAGCACAACACTGTATACACCTTCATTTTAAGTTCGATCCATCTTAAATAACAGAATTAGTTTACATCATCCACGTGGATCAGTGTTAATTAGCATGATGGATATTTTCGGCTGTAATATTAGATTCATCGTATAATTTTCGCCTAAAGATCATGTATATATTGTACAGTACACAACGTTAATGAGAGTTAGAGGCTCTATTTTCTTCTTCTTTCCTCACCATACACATATCTCAAAGCACTTATGTGATCTAGAACGATGTGGCAGGATATCACTTGGGAAAACTTCGTCCCACGGAACATACAGTATGTAACACAGGAAGTGAATTCAATGCAATACTTCCTTCACACGTTAGTACACTTTAGGTCTATGGTTATAAATCCCGTCAATCATTGTCACATTCACTTGAACGCAGAGAGATACAGTGTGGACGAAAACGTAAACAAACTACGAGAGAAAACAATTCAAGCTTGACAGTGAGGCTTCCAAAGCACCCGCCGTCACCTGTGCTGCCGGCATCACTGGCAGAACTTGTACCGTACCACAACCCATTATCTCCCGACACCGCCAATGAAAATGGAATACATATAACAGTTTACTAATTTAATATGTCCTATAAATTTTATAACTCTCCTAACATTAAATATTAGTCCCCGTTCATAACTATCACGCTTGGAAAAAATCTCGTGCGCCAGACAAACAAGTTGAGACGTGGTGAACGGCAGTAGGTGGTAACCGCGAGCAGTTGTTCAGGTGTGCCACCTTTGCCAAATTTACAATAACGATAATAATATTACTTGTAATTGTACATAATTCTGAGTAAAAGTTGATACACCGCAGTAACCAATATAACAACGAGAAGACGTTGCTGGAACACTGATAATAATGTACAAAATGTGTACAGGTAAACTTTACAACCCCCTCCCACCTTCGTCAGGTCCGAGCTGTTTCCGTGTTACGTCACCCGCGACGATGACGTCACCCTCATATAAGAGTTGTGCACATATGTACAGTTATACGGCAAGATATATTCGCAGTCCCATTAGGCAAAGTCATACCAGTCTACAGTACTTTATTTTTATGTATGTCCAGGAAAAGTTACTCCGAATAAGGGTTAGGAATAAAGTTTCCTGAACACTATAAAATTGTACATAGTGATACGGTCACTGAGTGGAAAGCTGGCTTACACTCAACGCTGCCACAGCTGACGATACTGCTCATCATGCAGTCGTCTGGCACAATTGTTACTACAGATACTGGTCAAGTGACATACACTACTGTGCCAAGTGTACTTGAAGCACCTGTTACTAATACAAAGAAGACCCAATGTCTCAAGCAGCAGTCTGTTAAAACCGCTACAAATAATGTCCGGGGCCTCAAGTACTTGTATAACAGTTAGGGTCAAAGGCTTTCTGAAGTTGTTGATCAGAACTCAAAGTAAATGTCTAAGATCTTAAGTGAATGTCTGTAGCAACTGCTGTTACATAAGACGGTCAGCCGGGGCCCCCCTCAGGGTGTAGTCGACAGCAACATCTACTGTACAAGAACAGTCCAAACCAGGACCTAAAGTAGTCTGTTATAACTACAATTACAGTAGGATACTTTGGCTATTTCATGCAGTCAAGGACCAAGGCTTCAAGCGTTTGTCTGTTACAATGAAGTTCCATGGCTTCACACGGCTGTCTGTTACCAACAGCAGTTATAGTGTTCAGGTAAAGAAAAAGTCACCGATGATAAGTAACAACACCGATACTGGCCGATAATTACATGATCTCGGCCATGTACGATCACCATACAGTAGAACATAGCTGCTAGTGTTATGCACCAGGTGGCCACTTGGCGGTGCTCATGTTGACAAAAAAAATAAGCGCCGCCAAGTATAGAACCAAACACAAACAGTGTGCTTTAATACCTCTCATACAGATGTGAAGAACAGTGTGTGCAGCCAGGCATTTTGCTTCACACTGCTGTACTCACGCAGTTGTGACCAAGTTACCCTCTATGTACAGAACTAAACAAACAAAATATTTGAAATGCTCTAATATCCAATGTCATAATACCCTGACCACTGGGGGTCTGTTATACACACCCTTTGTGACCTCTACTCTGTACTGCAATCCCTTTGTGATACCGCTCACAGGATGAGTAAGAACAGCACACTAAACCAGCCTCTGTACATGGCGAATATTAAAATTCAATATTCTTTCAGCCACTTCTGAATCTTGTAACTGAGTTAGCTTCAGCACCTCCCTCCAGCACAGATCATGTCATGCAGCAGGAAGAAGACTTCATCAACACATTCAACAAAGTCCAGGGACTTGTTCCCCTATGTTGAGTTTCACCAGCCATCAACCTCATTTGTGTACCCACCTTCCATACTGCCTACACCTTCCTCACACAGCACATGGCCACTTTCAGCCACAGGCCTCCCACCCACACCACCTTTGTTTTCTCCACATTTACTCTCAAAACTTTGACTCCATTCCATCCTTCCACTTCTTAAATGTCTCCACTGCCTCTTCAATACTACTTGCTATCAGCACTAAGCCATCAGCAAACAACAACTCCCAGGGCAGGTCAGTCCTAGAGTCTGGAGATGGTAGTGCATCTCTCTAGCAACATGGTAAACACACATGGGAATCGGGACAGACCCCGGATGAACTCTTCCTTCACCTAAAATTTCCTCACCATTTACTGTCAATGGCACTTTTGGAGCCCTCATATACAGTAACGTCATAACCAGTCAGAATAAGACACTCGTCAACCCCTAGTTTTCTCATTGCCCCGTAAAATACTGTACAGGCCAAAACTCGTACAGTATATCTTACCTAAAATAAAACGCTGCACAACATAAACACTCCACAAGAATGAGTACATAAGGCCAATCAATAACAATCCTCTCAACAACTTAGTAAAGGTGAAATACTGTACTGTAGCTGTGATAGGTGTGGAGGGTTTGTTCTAGAAGCTTTTATCTACTGTATACAGAGAGAAGGTAAAATTGACTCACTCACCATTGCTGGAGAGGCTAGCCAGGGATCCCAACAAAGATGACGACTTACCTAGTGGAGGAAAAACACACATAAGCGGTACATAAAAGTATCCATGTGTGTGTGTGTGTGTGTGTGTGTGTGTGTGTGTAATGGTATCTATATGAACAACTATGAGTTAGTTGAGCTTGGCATGTTGACAATGTCCGTTTTTAAGTACTGCACTGTACAAATGTGGTATTGATCCTCAAATAACACTTTATGACCATGCAACATTCCCACTAAGACTACTAGTTGACAACACAGGAGCCCTCAAACACCAATAGCTGGGTCTAATTTGTGAATTAGTTAAGCCTTCTTGTCATAAAAGTGCGCCTGAAAAGGGAAATTCATAAACAGCATTCAAGGTAAAAGACCATGAGTCACGACATTACACTCGCCTGTATGCATTGCACCTGTCACTTGGCTCAGCTGCAACGGTCACTCCAGGCTTCACCTCACGTCCAGCCTGCTTCATCACTACCCAACACGAGGAGGGAGGGTAGCTAAGTGGTTTAGTCCTGACTCGCTTACGAAGTGGGATTTCAGGATCAATGCTCCTTTATTATCTAATGCCCAGTCTAAGTGACTTGACTACCTATAGCCAATTAATAACTGTGGCTCTACGTAGCAGCTTGCGTGACAAATTCCACATAAGGTTA